GAATTGAGATCACATTTCAATGACAAATAAAATAAAAACTCTGATACTATACAGTGGGAAGGAGTAAGTTAACATCTTGGGAACCACCAGTTGTGTCTCAGATCTTTATGGAATTTTAAGCAGCACCTCCAATCCTTTTAATTCCATAGATTGTCGCAGATGTGAAGCTACATATTGGAAAATTAAAATCTGGTTCGTGTCATAACAAACGGCGGAAAATATGACATAAAAATTCGAAGACGCAGAGGAATAGCGAATGATGCCTTTCAGAAACTAAGAAGAGTATTAAGATATGAGAAAATGACGTTCGGAACAAATAAATTGCTGAACTTCTATGTCGCATTTACTCATCTATTCGGGGAAATACCTTAACAAGAGACTTGGAGCAATAGAAATGCGATTATAACGAGAGATTCTGAGAATACCATGGACTTAGCATTTGAACAACGAAGAAGTTTTATTTATTATTTCATGTCACTATCGACTATTTTTCCAAAATCCATTCTTTATGCTCTTTGGCAATTTGAATGTTTCCGTTTTTTGAGTCACATATCTCATGATTGCTAATTCTTTTAGGCAATTTCTTTTAATGTTGATTACCCTTATTTTCAAACACATCATTTCTTATATTCACAACAATCATTTTCATTGAAGATTATTCAATGTAGCTACATGATGGCTTTCCATAGTTGCCCACATCTAGACCTATCCATAGAGCCACCAGTTATGACCTTGTGTCACATCTCGTCAACGAGAGTGGGAGCACAGTTAAATAACTAGCCACCAATTATATCTCAGATAATGAGATATTTCGCAACATTTTATTATAATACTTTAAATATCTTGAGTGTTTGTGGGTTTACTGATTTGAGTGTCAGTTTCAAGCCCTTGCTACAATCTCTCTATGGTGTTTTGATCTACTTAATTTGGCTTTCTACTCGCAGAACTTCAATATTATTAACTTCTTTTAATAATCTGACTACTTTGAAAATGTGTTTCTCTATCAACCAATGAGATTCTATTTTGTGGAATTATAGCACCCCCCGCTTTATTCAGCACGTTTCCAGACATACAATCCTACGCTTTAACATTCCCTTCTCAATGTTTAACTGTTCCTTTAATAAGGCGTGTATAGTATTCTTCACTTACGGCCAAAGTGATCCAATATCTATTTTATTTAAACACGTTAACTCCAATAAGACGGTGATTCCCCAGCTGTTATACCAGTCGCGTCATTTTTCTTATTATCGTTTGAATGTCTTCAGTTTAAGTTTCGACACTTTACCACAATTTCTCGATGTGGTTATAATCTAATTCCGACTGTAACCACAGGACTCAATATCGCTTTCTTCTATTGAAGAATCAGATTAGTTTGAACCAGCCCATCAGATGTTTTTGTACTGAATTAGACCCTAATTAATTCAATACATTTTCATACATACAATCCTACACTATAACACTCCTTCTGTTTAACTGTTTCTTTAATGTAAGTCACAGTGACTCGAGGCCAAATATCTAACTCTTCACACAACGGGCCTATGCAAACACACTTAGGTGATATATATATACACACAGTCACTCACATTGATTAAGTATGTCATAAGGCCATACAGCATTGAGATCAGGTTTCAATGAATTACAAGATTAGCTTACCATGATTCATATTCAAAAAACTCCGACATTTCTAGATATTTTTACGTTATAAATGGAGATAAATTCGTTCTAAAGTCTGTGACACTAATCTTTGTTGTCGAATTCATCATAAATAGCTTTGGAGAAGTTTCATATAAATTCTTAAAGGTTTCGATTTAAACAAGGTCATCATCAAAATGTGCATGCAAAGACTTACACTTAACAAAACTGATAGCAAGAATACCGATTTCCGTTCATCTTAATGTGTATATGTGTACCTACTAAGCACCAAATGAGAGATGAACACCTGGATTATCACCAAATCTCCGATTCCTAATACAGTAAGCGAAAAAGCTTAAAGTGTTGCTTTTCCACGTACGTCCTGCCAAAAATGGCATCGTTGACTTGATGTTTCCCATATTTTTTATAAAATCTACACTTTTATTGATACTTGTGAAGATTAACTTCGTATATTACATACATGATAACAACCGGATCAAATTAACTACACTAGAAAATCGGTCCGCGGAGTTTACTACTATGCTAGGGTAGGCTCCCACTAATCTGCAGCAAGGCTTTCAAATATCTACTATTTAGGTTCTTTACTTAGTACAGTATCCAATGAGTAGTGTCGAACTGACAAGAGTACTAAGGAGACTCAATTATAATTTTTCCACTTTGAGGTTCCCTGATGTTAACTAAAATTAACTTAGAGCAACAGAAGATCAGTACAGGATTTAGATAGATAGATAGATAGATAGATAGATAGATAGATAGATAGATAGATAGATAGATAGATAAACATGCTTAGATAGATAGATAGATAGATAGATAGATAGATAGATAGATAGATAGATAAACATGCTTAGATAGATAGATAGATAGATAGATAGATAGATAGATAGATAGAGTGATCGATTGGTACAAGGTCAGTACCGAATTTAAACTTTGTGAGACCTGTTGACAGAAGTCGGACATCAAATACTAAGAGAGGTAGTGAAGAGAGACTGGATTACACAAAACAACAAAACAAAAGACTAAATGTTGTGAATTGTCCATGTCCTCAAAAGAAATCTCAATTTGGATTTGGTGATCCGCTCGAATCTTCACAACTTTTAAACTTGTCAAAAGAATTCGCACAATATTCAGCTGAATAATAATATTTTAAATTTAAATTGATTACATATGAGTTCTTCTGAAAAATCCTCGGACTGTCCAAGAAAACCTCGGTGGTTTGGGCAAAGATTTACCCACTCACTCGCTCTCTCGTTTATTCAGTTAATAATTCACTTACCCACTTAATCACTCTTTCGTACACTGGCTCTGTCATTCACACATTAATTCTATCTCACTGATACTCTCATTCTCATTCACTCATTCTCTCATTCTCATTCACTCATTCTCTCAATCTTCTTCTTTTATTTCTATTGTGTATTGTGTCCTCTCAGGACTTAAGCGATCATAGCTAGCCACAACTTCCTCTCACTTGTAGCTCTTAATAAACTTTGTCTTTTTGTTATATCGCCTAAACCTTTTCCCCCTATCCATTTACTCAAGCTTACTAAGTAGGTTATGCGTTGTTTTCCTCTGTCTCTTCAAGCTGTCCTATGAGTATCATATTTTCCAAGCCCTCCTTCCTCATTAAGTACCTCAAAAACCTTAACTGCCTCTTCCTGATGTTAAGTAATTAGTTTTCTTTTTATTTCCATTTTCGTCGTTGCTCACAGTTTCTCTCAGTCACTCAAGCAAAACTCATGACGTATTTGAAAAGCAGGTTGGACTGTTATTTACCAACCTCCCCACAAGGCAGGATGTTGCACAAGGCCGATTTTTATGAGGGGAAAATGATTTTCTAAGCGTAGCTTAGATATCGCACAAGGCCGAAAATATGGAGCGCTCAGTGAAGATCTAACTCACTACTCAGTCGTAATTGATCTAGCGAGACATGCTTGTTAACCATTAAACGACGTCGAGGTACCCATTGATGATTTTCCATTTGTAGTTTAGATATAGCACGTAGCCGAAAATATGGGACACTCAGTGAGGATCGAACTCACTACTCAGTCGCAATTGTTCTAGCGAGGCAAGCTTGCTAACCATTACAGCGCATCTGGTTGGGCTGAGAACGTTTCAGCACGTCACATATTCAGCACGTCACATATTCTTTCGTAATTTCTTTTGTCGCATTTCCTGAAGGCAAAGAGTAAAGATTTGGATACGTGCCACATGACTGAAATTCCCATTGTAGTGCCTTTCCCAAGATTACGAACGCTGATTTTCAAGGAAGGAGACTCTCTCATACTAGGAAGATAGGCCCATCACAATCTTTCTACTCCTATTCGTTCATTCCAACTCTATTTGGTGGGCACTTCGACGCGGTGTAATGGTTAGCAAGCTTGTCTCGCTAAGATCAATTACGACTGAGTAGTGAGTTCGATACTCACTGGGTGACCCTCCACTTTCGGCCTTGTACCACATCTAAGCTACGCCATATCCATCCCATTTGGCCTTGTGCATTACTTAGCTACGCTAAAAAATATAAATTCGTTCTTACACTTTCATTATGAATTTATTTTATCCGCGTCCATGAGAAACACTTCCCCGGTTTTTCTGGGAAGAAAGCCCAGATGAATATTCAGAAAGTGAATTTCTAATGGCATTCGTGCCCCCAAACATTTTTTTATATAAAAAGAAATGAAAAGTTCTGTTTTGTTTTTAATCGTCTTCTTATAACTCGTAGTTTTGCTTTGAACGGGAGAAAATTCTCCCATACCCATTTTAAATAACGCCAGACAACGTTTCATCTGAACAATAAAAATGAAACCATTTGTCCAATCAGAATAGAGTGTATGTGCGCACGCACGTTATCATGCTTCCGACTTCTGAGAGGATTAGATATTGGCCGATTTTTTTAAACTTTTATTTTATCATGTGTCAGATGGTGAATTATTTTTAAATCTACTGTCTCTCTAGGATGGAGACGCTCCTGAACCTCCACAGATTCCTTGACTTTATTATCTGTGAATTGCTATGATTTCTTGGGAAATATAGAGGAGTAGTTTCCTGTTGCCGCCTCCACGATTTTTTGGTTGCTTGCTTTTGTTTAGCGGCATATCAACCTTCATGGGTCATTTAATGCCGAAATCTAAATATTGTGTACACATATTTTTACTTTTTTTAAGATAATAACGGTTTAGTGATACAAATCTTATTAATTAACCCATAGCCGAGGGGAGAAGAGGTTGATTCATACCTCTCCCAAGGGTATGTATGAGTAAGTGAATATAACGAACCCAACGGGAATTGAAACTCGGCTCTCTGATTAACTAATCAGACCCATTAATCATTATACTACCCGCACATCCAAGCTTGCAGCACCTTGTATTCCCAAGCGGTCACCCATCTAGGTACTGACTAAGCTTGACGTTGCTTAACTTTGGTGATTGTACGGGAACCGATGTTTCAACATGATATGATCGTAAGATCAAAGTTTTCGTTATCTTAGACTAATTACCATCCAAGGCTAGAAAACACTGTCTATCATTCTATTTAGGCCACAACAAGAGGAAGAAGAGGCGGGGTTTTGACTTTTGCCAAGGGCATTAGCGCGAAATTGAATGCAGCAGACTAGCCCGGAATTGGAAGACTTTTTGCTTCCATTTCCCACGTCGACATCAGTTACGCTGTCTACACATAACACACATGTGTAAGATAGCTTTTTAACCCTGCGACAAGAATCATGAATGGTACCTTGGCATAGAATAAAGGTTACCACGATAATCTGCTCAACCATTAAAATCACTGATTACTGAATTCCAGTCTCACTGGACACTCCATTCTTGTGGCCTTGTGCCACAGAAATCTGAGAAAAAATATGAATACTCGTGTTTACCAGGATATTTCTTAATAGAAATATTATTTTGAAAAAAAAAAAAAAATGAGCAGCGAAATATGAAAAGCCGCCGTCTGAATTCCCAAGATGAAATTCATTTGCATAATTGTTTTTTTACGCATTACAATCTTAGGGAAAATAACTACGATAAAGTGGAAAATGTTTACCTGCACAAGTTTCGCTCTTTAGGGCTTCCTCGGACAAAAATGATGTCTCCGATGATGCGGCTACAAATGCTCACGAAGGTCGCTGAGAATTTTAAATTTAAATTTTTCTTAAATATTTGTTTTGGATATATAGTCTAACCGATTTCATTTAGTTTCTTTTTCTTTTTGTCTATATTTCTACTACTTTTGTTATTAAATATCCCACATTGCGATTATAGAAGATCGTGACAATAGAAAGTTGTGACAATCTGGACGGCAATTTACTTTGGAAGATTTCGCGATTATAACACTTTTCCAGTTTGTCATATTATTTTTCCCCTGAAATTGTTTTTGATATATGAAAAATTATATATCGTTTTCTCATATTACAATCTTCATCATTGTTGTTACGATCACAACGTACCGGCCTTTGTGTCCTTTGGGTTTATTCAGGTATCTGTCGATCTAAGTAACCTTCGTGGAATTTCGAACTGAACCCTTTATTCAATCTACAGGAGTAAACTATTCTCATTTCGCTTTCTCTATTTAGGGATATCTCGTCTTTTTTAATTGTTCAATTATCGCTCGTCCCGTTTCTATTAAGTATATCCGTACTACCCGACCCAAGGTTTGAAATCACAATTATTTTATCACCGCTTTAACGGGACAATCCAAAAGCTATAACGTGGGGCCTTAAAGTTAATGATATAATAATATTTTGCTTTGCATGCCTCTGTTCGAATAAATCTGCAACGTTAGTGGTCCTGACCTAGCATCTCAGTTTCAGTCATTTTCCCTGTGCCTTTTCTATAAATATTTTCATGGTAATAGTCCTGATGACCTTTCCTCTTTTGGTACCTCGAAGTTATGAATTTAAGCGTAGTACGAGATTGGCAGATAGGTTTCATCATTTTACAGTTGAAATGACTAGATGCAGCCGTAAGTTCTCTACTAACAGTTACTTCTCTCGTAATTCTCTCTTCCAGCTTCAACAATATATTGAAAGAAAAATTATCTGGAAAGAAAAAGAGTCAGTTTTTTTATTTTTTATTTACTAAGGTTAATACGTTAGACGACCGAATCAACAACCAACCAAAAATGCGTCATTTCATATGTGACAACCTAATACTTATATTTTTTTTTTAGGCCTTGTAAAGCCCGGACATGCCAAATGGGTATTAACCAGTAACCTAAAACCCTTGAAGGCGGGAACGTTCAACGCCCTGACATCCATTCATTTTATGAGGAAACAAATTTTACGGTCACACTTTGATGTCCTTAAAACTCTAACAGAAGAACACAATAAATAAAATACAAATTCATATTTGTTATTTACTGTATTCTTCGCCAGTCAGATTTTGTAAGATAAGGTATTTTCTAAAATATCGCCATAAACAATATCCCATAATATAATATATCTGATCTCGGAGGCGGAGAATAAGCTGGTCCCCTTTTCTTTAGTTTTAATGACATGAATGTCTATCGTCTAAGGATCTAATGTTCAGGCAGGTGTGCTGGGCTCTAAGCATTTTTTTTTTCAAAATGACGACCGAACGGAATATATCATGTTTTAAGAGCATTCGACCACGTGACAGTAAAACGGATGTAATAAAATATAGACGACAAATAAAAAGAAACGGCAGGTTTAACACAATCACTACAACTACAACTGGCGTACTTCGATGGCTTTGACGTGGTGTAATGGTTAACAAGCTTGTCTCACTAAACTAATTATGGCTGAGTAGTGAGTTCGATCCTCAATGAGTGCCATATCTAAGCTACGCTTATTAAATCACAAGGCACTTCGACATGGTTAGTGGATTTGTCGCACTATGATTGAGTTCAGAGTTCGATCTTCACTGGGTACACCCTATTTTCGGCCTTGTGCCACATCTAAGCTACGCTGAGTAAATCACAGAGCACTTCGACATGGTGTAATGGTTAGCAACCTTGTCTCGCTAGATCAATTACGATTGAGTAGTGTGTTTAATCCTCACTAAGTGCTCCATACATTCGGCCTTGTGCCACATCTAAACTACGCGTAGTAGATCACTATAATGATAAAAGAAGATTAATGTTACTACGATCAGAAGTACTACTGCTTAATTTTCTATTTTTGCTTAAATAATAGTGAAAAGGAAAGGAATATCGGCCAAAATGCGGGAAATCAAGCCAAAAACATTGACCAAAGAACACTTTTATTCGGTCGAGCTAGCTCGAACATTCATGAGTTTATCACGCCAACCATCACGGTTCTTGGAAGGTCATTAAGGTGGCATCCTTTGTCATTACATAATTGGTCAGTGAAGGTGGTTGCTGGGTAACCAACCCGTCTTGCGCCATGGCTAGATGTCCAGAGCAGTGGATCAGTTCTTTTGCGCGCCAGCAGTGTCCTAAAAACCTCATTCTGCGTTCACGTAAGATGGTAGAAGTATCAGAGATGGACCGTCCTATGTATGACGATAAACTACATCCAACAGCAAGGCCTCTGATCAGGAGGTTTTGAGGAGCATGGAACCACTTCTTAATTACTGGTGTTCACAATCTACTCTGACCCGGGGTGGTAGCACCTGTTAGGTTCCCAGCTATGGGCAAATAGTTAACCCCCAAGCTGTGGTCAACACCTTAAAAGTATAAGAATATGCTTTAATACCAGCAATACATTTAAAAAAAAAAAAAAAAGGTATTACTAGCAATACATTTTTGGAAAAAATATTACCAGAAAAACTTTTTGAAAAAAAATATTACCAGCAATAAAAATCTTGTCGGCATTAAATAACCTAATGAGGTTGATATGCCGTAAAGCAAAACAAACCAAACCAGGGATGGGTCTATAGAGCTGTGATTTAGCTGGATATTATCTCCAAGACATGTTAAGTGTAGCTGTCATCATCCAAGTGTAGGTTGTATCAAGTTTACACTCAGAGTATTAGCTAATGTTCAGGCATGACTTTCGAAAAAGATATATCAACTGTTGAAATAACAGGACAAATACGAGAGAAAAGGACGTGTGATCAAAAACAAGAAATATTTACAACAGAATGAGCAAAACCGGCGAAATGAATAACCAGAGGCTACAAAGACAGAAGAAAAAGATTCTTGACAAAACTCAAACAGTATTTTTTTAATCAAGGTAACCCCAAGCAAGGCAGTAAAGCCACTAAGATACAAGTGGTTACTGGGTGTGGAAGAATTAGAAACAGAAACATTACTATAGATCGACAACAAAATGATTAATCAGGAGGACAGTAAATAGCGATTGACATCGCATTTAAATTTTTGGAGATTAAAATTCTACGAAAAACATGGAGCTCGACGAGAGTTCTACAAGCGAGAAGTGCGAGAAAAGAAACTGTTAGCATAGAATTTATGGTTACGTATCGCCAGCTCAACTGTAAATTAATGAGATCATGATGTCAGTCTAGTACTGCGCTTAAATTCAATTAGTCTAGGCAACATAACGAAGAGATCATCCGAACAATTACCATGAAATCATTTATAGAAAAGGCAGAGAAAGGTAACCTTACGGCAATGAGAAATGACAGAAGCCGAGACGCCAGGTCAGGACCGATAATATTGCTGATTCTTCTTTGGATTTTATCCAGGTGCTCTAGATAAATAGCAGGAACATTGAACCATATGTGGCAGCAATATTCTAAGCATGGATCAGTGTTAGACATAGATATGAAAGGTAGATTCTGGAGAGAAAAATCGTTTCGCACGGCGCACTGAATCAATTTTCTTAGCAGCTGACCTAGAAATGGCTTCAATATAGTCTTTCCACCTTATGTCAGCTGAAAACATTAGCTCGAAAAGACGTAACGAGTGACTTGCATCAGACATGCTGATGAAAGGCAGAGTCGGGCCTCTTAAATGATTAATGTAGAGCAGTTTAATTTCGGAGGCGTTAGAATTAACAAACCATCCTTTGCCCCAATTACACGTTGTTTAATTTCGGTGATCGTACGAGAACCGATGTTTCAAATTTATATGGCCGTAAGCCATACCATCCACACATCCAACCTTACAGTACCTGATATTCCCAAGCTCTCATCTATCTAGGTACTGGCCAGGTTCGATGTTACTTAACTTCGGTGGTCGAACGAGAACCAGTGTTTTAACGTGATATAGCCATAAGCCCCTAGAGGAAGAAAAACCCCAGAATTCAAAACCGGTGGGAAGGTAACGGGAAACCACTCTGTGGTACCTAAGAACCATGCTCACCTACATCCTGAAAGAACATGGCATTATAAAAAACATTATAAAAAGTCTCTTTTATTAAATTAGATTCTTCGTATGCCACTTTTCTTTGAATGCCTTACATCTTAAC